CACACACACACACACACACATAAAACTGGTTGATTAACACTGAATGGAAAATGCACATAATTATTAAAACAGTAGACTCAAAATGGAGGACAGCAAGGTGAGTAGAAAAAAATGATGAATAAATTCCAGAGGGCTGAGGCTATGGGAACACCTGAGAAGTTGTTCAGCACCTGAGAGCAGACAGCTCCCCTTCCAGCCAGGGGCTCCTAGGGGCCTCTTCCAGCAGCAAGGGACTCGACAACAATCATAACTTCACTCATAAGTGGGATATGAAACTGAAAGCAACAAAGGAACAAGACAAACAAACAAAGAAACAAAAACTCAGACACAGACAGCCGTTTAGTGGTTACCGGAAGGAAAGGGGGCAGGATGAGGTGGTAGAAGAGGAAAAAAGGGGTCAAATATATGGTGAGGTATTATAGAAATGTACACTTGAAATCCATATAATTTTACTAACCAATGTCACCCCAGTAAATTTAATTAGAAAAAAGAAAGGGACTCTTGAAGCAAGTTCAGAGGAAATTGGGAGTGTCCACCAGGGTTTGAGAGAATAAGAGTGACTGCCTTTGAGAAGATAGATTGACATCCCTTAATTGTGTTCTTCAGATCAACTTCCCAGCGATAGATTTTTGTTGGCTAAAATCAATCAACACTCTAGACGCCCCTCAGGGGAGGAGGGCCCAAGGGTTTCCTCACATTGATCAGAGAGGATTGGCAACTCCTGCCTCAGCAGCAGAAAGATGAAAGGGACAAGGATCTGGGCCATAGCCGTGGAGAGCTGAGAACTTCACTGACCTGCCTGAGAGTCCACTACTATGGTCACTCTGGGTGGGCTTCAGTGTAGGTTAAGGTATAACCTGGGAGACAGGACTGGGCCCCAAATGATTAGGGGAGGCAACAAGGTCACTATGGAGACCTGAGCATATGCCTGGGTCTCTAGGAGAGAAGGGGGCCTCCTGAACAGCTGGAGGTCAGCAGGAGGACACTATCCCCTAAGTGGGTATAGAGGTCTTGACTTCTTCATAATTTTACTTAAGTCAGCTCAAGTAATAAAGATCAGGTTTTCTATGCCACTCCCTGTTGCAAAGGTTTCAGTGGATCATCACCGACCACCTGATAAAAGTCCAGACTCTCTGGCCCTGCTAACAATGACCCATGGTCTGGCCTCTGCCAACATCTTCAGCCTCTTTACTTGACACCGGCACCCTCGATGTTCCAGCTACAGTAAACTCGCCAAGCAACCTCACGGCCCTGGGTCTTTGCACAGCTACATCCAATGTGTGCACTTCTTACCTGTTTCCTCCAAATTACCCCACCAGGCTCAGCTCCATCATTACTTGTTCTGAAGTGTCTTCCCTGAGGCTCCCACCCTCACCCCTACTGCAAACATCAAACACGTTAGGGGTGTTCCCTGTGGCATCCCAAAGCCATCTCTCTGTATGGAAATTGCTTGTTTTAAGGCTGTGTTCTGTTCATCCCTGTATCTCTGGCCTGGTGAAAAGCAGGCATTCGGTTCAAGTTGGGTGAAATTAATAATTATTATTTTAAATTAACATCATGGATGGCACATTCTGTAGAGAACTTCATCGAACACTGCCTGTCCTCAGAGACCTTCCATTCAAAAATCCTGTGTGAGCATGTAAAGGTGCTCAGTAACACAGGTCACCAAGGAAATGCAAATTAAAACCACCATGAGATACCATTTCACATCCACTAGAATGGCTGCTAAAAAAATAACAGGAAATAACAAATGTTGGTGAGAATGTGGAGAAATTGGAACACTTGTGCAGTTAGTGGGAATATAAAATGGTACAGCCTCTATGGAAAGCAGTTTGGCAGTTCCTCAAAAAAAAAATTAAATGTAGAGTTACTGCATGACCCAGCAGTTCTCCTTCTGAGTATCTATCTACCCAAGAGAATTAAAGCAGGGACGCTAGCAGATATTTGTACACCCATGTTCGTAGCAGCATTATTCACAATAGCCAAAAGGTGGAAGCAACCCAAGTGTTCACTGGCAGATGGATGGATACACAAAATGCTATATATACACACAAAGAAATTCTGACACATAACTCATGGGTGAACCTTGAGGACATTATGCAAGCAAATTAGCCAGTCACAAAGGGACAAATACGGTACAGTTCCTTATATGAGGTCCCTAGAGTAAGTAGCCAAATTCATAGGGACAGAGAGTAGAATGGTGGTTCCCAGGGGCTGGGGGGGAGGGGGTGGGGAGTTAGTGTTTAATGGGTAACAGAGTTCCAGCTTTGCAAGATGAAAGAGTTCAGGAGACGAAGGGTGGTGATGATGGTACAACAATATGAACGTACTTAATGCCACTGATCTGTAAACTTAAAGATGCTTAAGATGATAAATGTTATGTTCCGTGTATTTTATCACAATAAAAAGTAAAAAGCCCTGTGCGAGACATCTGACAGCCTGAGTTCAAATCCCAGCTCTGCCACTGCCTGGCTGGGTGATGGTGGCCTCCGGTCACTCTGCTTTAAAATGGGATAAGCTTTTGAGGGCTGTTTTCAGGACAAGGATCCCTTTCAGGCTGTGCCTGATGTATTGCGATGAGAGTTTGTGCACATGTGGTAAAAGGCATGTGCTATTTTTGTTTCAGGAACACAAAATACCCAGCAAGTACCCCCACCAGATGAGAGCACTGCACTGGGAAATAGTCTTGGCATGAAATAATAATAAAAAAAAACAATGTTTAGGAGTCACATATTAGGTGCATGGGCGGGGGACCTCGCCAGGGCCCATTTTACACCCTGACAATGAATTCCCTTTGCTGCCATCTATTGTCTAATGATAATATTGACCTTTTCTGGCTGTCAAACTTGTCTTCTTAAATCCTGAGGTCTTAACTGCTTTACACACACAGGCTGACAGTTTACCCACCTGAGCACACGTTCATGTATAATTCATGACCTATCACATCGCCTGGCAAATGAATATTTATCGGCTTTTTCATAAGAGGCAGGACGGTGTTTCCTTTTGTTGCTACCAAAATCCTATGCTGCAGCAAATGAAATTTGTGAGCAAATAAAAAAAGGATAAGAAGCAGCAGTGAAAAAACTCCCCACCAGGTCCATTCCACTTGTAATTTTCCATTTTCCGAGGCCTCCACCATGTGTATGGAGGTGGTTTGGGTTTGGCGACAGCAGAGAACTGCTGAGTCGTCCAGAATAGAAATGCCTCCATATGCTACACCCACTGCCACTGCAGAAAACTCCCCCGCACCCCATTTCGCCGCTATGGGCAACTGCCCAGGAGCCCAAGACCCTTTCGATGGGCTCCATTCCAAATGCTCTGAACAAAGATCAAGTTGGGGGGGACCAAGGATAAGGAACCCCAAATGAAGATTGGTACACGGTGGTTGGTGGCGCTAAGCCAGGCAGAGTTTTATGGCTTCCAAAATGGGCTGTCACTCAGAGAGGCGATAGCCCGGAACCACACAAAGCTGGGTCTAATGTCCCCTCCCCACGGTGAGTTAGGAGGGCCACCAAGACGGCGCTACCTTATCTTCAAGAGGTGCACGTGCCATGGTCCCTGTTGCAGAGAAGAGCCAAGAAAGGATCCATGATTGTGACTCTGTTTACTCTTCCATCCTTGTGACTCATTGATGGAGGATTCATGGGCTAATGATCTCAAGTACACATGGGCACATTTCCCCAGAGAGGAGGTTTCAACATGGTTGTGAAGGGAGTCCATGTGGCTTGGTTGCCACCGTTCTGGCCTTCAAAGAAGATGCTGATGCTGGTGCTCACATGGGTGCTGACGATGCTGATAACAGGAGCTCACATGTGCTGGGCCCTTCCTGTGTGCCAGGGTGTGTGTGGAGCGTATCAACTATACTACGACGTGTAATCCTCAAAACCCCCCCTTAAGGTAAGCGTGAGTATTGCTCTCCCTTTACAGATGAGGAAACTGAGGCAGAAAGATGAAGCAGCTTTCTTCTGTTCACACAGCCCGAGCTGGGAGTCGACTGCTGATCTGTTTGACTCTGGAGCCCATGCTCTCCAAACTACCCTCCCTGGAATCAGAAACTTGGATTCAGGGACCAAACACACACTGCCTGGCTGGGTGGCCTCTGGGAAATCATTTCATCTCTATGAGACTGTTTCCTCATTTGTAAAAGGGCCAGAGTAGCTCTTGCTTTGCAGGGCTGCTGTGAGGATACAATAGGATTTTTTGCAAATTCTGAAGAGCTCGGTAATCATTCATCAGCTGGTGGCCATTCTCAATGGAAACATTTATGGAAGGTTTACAGTAGTGTTCGAAATAGGAGACACCCAAGGGCAGAAATACAAGGTTAGGGATGTGTGTTCGTTCGTTCATTCATTCATTCAACAGAAAATTGATTGAGGGCTTGCCATGAGTCAGAAAACACACAAGGGATCTACATAATTTCACATGCGGATAAATGCTACACAAACATTAAAACAAGGTGATGTGACAGAGAGTAACATTGGAGGCAGGATCTGAATAGCAAGACGACACCGACCATGCAGAGGTTGGAGGAAAGAGTGCTCTGGGCAGAGGGGGCAGCTAGGGGGATGGTTCCTTGTAATTAATTCTATAAGATGGGGCCCTAGCAGGAAATGCTCCCTCAACATTTTGGACTGGGAAGCCCTCTTTTCCTAGACTATCTCAGGGTGCTGGTGCTGAGTGGAACTCCCTCTGGAAATGATGGCTTCTCATCTTCCTGGCCGGGCCCCTTCCAGCTGGGACCTGCTCTCCTTCTCACTCTAATTCTTTTCTTGTACTTCCTCACACGGGGTATCAGAAGGGCCATTCTGGGATGGACAGTGTCCTCAGTGACATGGCAGGGGGTGAAGTCTAGAGCAGGGGTCTGGCCAAGCCTCACCCTCATCTTTGCCCCCAAGACCTGACTCTCCGATCCCAGCTGGTCCAGCGTCCCCCTGGGGCAATCCCCTATGGAACAGAAGCCCCCAGGGCCGGCACCCACTCTGGCACCCAGCTCTACGTACCTTCCTCTCGTCTATTCCTTCGGTGACCAACGTGAGCTTCTTCGTGAGCAGGGGGTCCAGTGCCTGGAAACGCCTGCGGAACTGAGTGATCCCCATGTGGTCCGCGTGGCCTGGGGGGTGGGAGCGGGCAGGAGGAGAACAGGAGTGCAGGTGAGACCAGCCCAGGGCCTCACTCCCAGCCTTGCTACTAACTTGGGATACAGACTCACTTCTCGGGGCCTCAGTTTCCCCACTTGCTAACTAAAGAGATTAGATTCAAGCAGCATTTCACAAATGTGTTCTGCTGAACATGAACCTTATAAACCACTCCACTGCCAGGTTGGGGACCCTTTAAAATGCTCTCATCTGCCTCTTTGGAGGTCACAGTATCGTGTCAACATTGATGCCAAAGGCTCTGAGGACCTCTGCAGGGAAGAGGCCTGATTAGCTTTGCTTAACCCAGAGTTTTTCCCAAACCTGTTTGAACATGGAAAAGAAATTTCTTTAGTCCTAATACTTATTACCACTCACAGACTGCATAGGGAAATGCTGCGTTGGAAAGTATTGAAGGGTTCTTTTAAATCTAACACGTAGAATGAACACAGCTGAACGCTTCTGTGTGCAAACTGGGAAGAGGCAGCTGGAAAGCTACCAAAAGAAGGTGACATTAGAACCAGCCTTTGAAGGAGCTATAAGAGTTTGTCAGAGGGTTTAGTATGGAGGGGACATCTAAGCAGAGGGAGTTACAGCACGGAAGTCTAAGGCTTGTTCTATAGTCATAGCAACAGCTAACAGTTACTGGGTGCTTACGTACGTTACGACACTGAGATAACAACTTCCTTGTGTTACAGACATTCTGGGGCCTATTATACCTATTTTATAGATGTGGAGATTGAGGCCCAGAGAGTTCAAGTCACCTAACCCAAAGTCACACAGATGGTAACTTTTCCAGCTGTGATTCAAACCCCAGACAATGACAGTAACTAACCCAGGGGAGAGTAGACCATAACGGGCCCAAGATGAGCAGGGGGGGGGGGCGGCCGGTGGCTCAGCTGGTTAACAGCACGAGCTCTTAAGCAACAGGGTTGCTGGTTCGACTCCCACATGGGCCAGTGAGCTGTGCCCGAGCTGCACTGCCACTGAGCTGCCAACAGGTGGCAGGATGGCTCAGCTGGTGAGAGCATGTGCTCCTAACAACAAGGTTGCCAGCTAGACTCCCACATAGGATAATGTTTACGCCCACATGCAACTAAGATTGAACACACACCTTGAGCTGAGTGGCCACGAGCTGCCGATGGGAGGCCGGATGGTGACTGGACTTGGAGCTGAGCTAGCTGCACCCTCCACAACTAAGACTGAGAGACAACAACTTAGCTGTTCCCTTCCCCAATTCCCCAATAAAATCTTAAAAAAAAAAAAAAAGATGAGCAGGGAATGGGCCCCAAAGGAACTTGAACTCAAATTTCAAGCCTTAAGGTTTGGACTTTGTCCTGATATAAGGGGTATGGTAGAGTCTCAGTTGCCTAAAAAACAAAACAAAACAAAACAAAAAATCCTCAAGTGGCCAGATGGGAGACGGTCTGGTGAAATCTCACTCCAGTTTTGCGACTTGGCTTCACAATAAGCCAAATGCATAAACCATGAGGAAGAAGAGTGACAGTGCAGGAGGGTGGTGAATCCAGGAAGGCTTCCTGAAGGAAGAGGACAGCCTCCAGTCAGGTTCAAAGGATGAGACCGCACAGAGACAGGGGGACGTTAAAAGTCTGCCCTTTTGGGTCAGACTTCACTGGGTTCCCATCCCATTTCTGCCTCTGATTGGGGACAAATGACCCCAACTCTTTGAGATTCAATTTCTTCACTTGCCAGATGAGCATAACAAGATCTACCATCACAGGGTCCCTACCAGGATTAAATCTGATGATGGTTAGAGTAAAAGAAACCAACATGTATTGAGTGCTTTCCCATGTCCCAGCACCGTTCTAAGTGTTACTACATTATTCGCTCGTCAAACCCTCAATAGCTCTCTGAGATCTGAGCTATTATAAGAGCAAGAAAGGAGGCCTGATGTAAGGACTTGCCAGTGTCAGCCAGTCAAGCCCAGGCTGACTCGCTCCAGAGTCTGAGCTTTACCTACCAGGATGTACCGCACGCCATGTTTAATGAGCATCTATTATGCTCCAGCGGCTGTGCTAAGGGCTTGGTGAGTATTATGTCAGTTAGTATGTGTGATGTTCCTAACATATCATAGGTACTCAATAAATAGCATAGATATGTATGCATTAGATATGCATGTGATATGTATTATATATATATATATGTTATATATGCACGAATTCAAAACCCTACATATTTTATATATGTGTCTGTGCCTATGTGTGCCTATCAATATTTCTTACATGGTAGGAGAAAGACAGAAACAACTTGAAGCAGGAAAAAGGGAGGAGATGAACCAGGTCTGAAAGGCAGACATTTGAAAGTTGTAGCACAAAACGTACACCCTTCACTTAGTTGGGAAACTCCTCCTGACCACGTTGGGCCCTGCTGAGGATGCAGACAGCAGATACTGCAGTGAGGACACAAGGCCCACGGAAGGGGACATGCTGACCCGAGCGTGCACACAGGGGCTTTCGCAGGCAGGCCCCTCCGCCTGCAATGGCCCCGTGCTTCCTGCCAGTCAGCCAGGCAGAATCGATCTGCTGCCAGCTGTGACCAACTCTCTCGTGCTCTCCCCCTGTGACATTATCTGTCTCCCTCCGCCTGGGGTTGTGCAGGCAGGAGAGAGAATCAATGAGGCACTCAGGGGAGCAAGGGTCTCATCTTTGCCTGCAGCTACTCCCAGCTTCTCCGTCAAATACCTGGTGCCCATGGTTTCAGTATGAACACGGTGGGAGGAGATGGGGGGCAGCAAACACAAACTGGGAGTCAGCGACCACAGAGATGTTAAACAAACGGGTGCCCACCCTCCAGCCATCCCATCTTCTGCAGAGAGGCATTGCTAACTGTCAGAGAAGGAAACCCTGGTGGCCCCCAGGGTGTGAGAGGCAGAAAAGAATCAGTAGGATTCAGATCAAGTCCAACCCATTAGATGGGCTAAGGGTGGGAACCTCGGGTGCACGCTTGCTTTCTAAAATACAGGCCTGAAGGCATCATGCCTCTGACTAAAATCCCTTTGTCCCACTCCCACCTCATCATCTCCTCAGCTAGACCTGGAGAAAACCAAACTTCCAAAGAACAACTCACAGCCTTCCCAGATCCAGCCACCTCATCTCCCACAAGCCCCCCACTCACTTTAAACCCTGTTCCCTGAAAACCCAGGCTCTTCCATGCTTCCCTGCCTTTGACTATGCTGATCCTTCTGCCTAGTATTCCCTCTCCCTCTCAACCCCCAGAGGGGAGCTGCTTATTTTAAGACCCAAGTAAGACGCGACCTGCCCTAGGAGGCTTTCTCAGTCTCCCCAGTGAGAGCACAGAGCTTTCGCCTCCAGGCATCCGGGTACTTCCTGAGTCCCCATGTGATGCACGCTCTTGTCATGTCACATTATCATCGCCTGTTTCCACACTCATCTCCCAAACCAGGCTGAGCATCTTAAAGACCAAAATATTACTCATTGTGGGAATTCCACCCTTTATCCCAGGGGCCGGCAAACTTTTGAGACGGAAGAGCCGCCAGGGGTCAGCAAACTGCAGCTCATGAGCCACACGCGGCTCTTTGGGTGCGTACATGTGGCTCTGAAGTACAATTAAAAATGAAAATAAAATTATCATAGTTTCTTTTATAATATTACTTTAAATTTTACTAATTTGTAAAAATATATTTATGGCTCTCGAATAATTTTTAAATTGTTGTGAGGGACAGGATTGGCTCTTCCACGGGTCGGCAAACTTTTGAGACTGAACGTACCCAGAGAGCCGCATGTGGCTCGCGAGCCGCAGTTTGTCAACCGCCCCCACCCCCACCCCCACCCCCCGCCAAGGAAGAAGCTCCTTAGATATTTTTTGTGAAAAGGAAGATGAGTAGGACACAGCCTTAGCTTTCCAGGAGCACACAACTAATTCAGGGAAGAAGATAGGCTTTGAACCCAAAGGGAACTAGGTTCATATCCAGGCTCTGCCATGTCCCAACTGTGTGACCTTGAGCAAGTCCTTTCACCTCTCTGAGCCTCAGTTTCCTCATCTGTAAAATGGGGGTTATCACAACTTCCACCTCACAGGGCTGCCTCTTACCTGCCCGGTGCAGACGTAGTGCCTCCAGGATGTAGGAGCCTGCAAGCTGGACCCTCAGTGCCGGGATGTCTAAGGGCAGGGGTCCGACTGCCCCAGGCTTGTCCCCGCCAGGCTGTTGTGGGGTGGGAGCCGGCTGCACGCCCCTGTTCTCCACCACTGAGCTTGGCACCAGGCAGTGGATGAAGTGTAACTGAGACCGTCTGATCACGCTGGTCAATGCATCCTAAGAAGGAGAGGGCGCGGGATCATGGCCAGCTGCCTCAGGGTGAGACAGACAGGGGTCTGGACATTCTCCAAACATACATTCCGCCTGGCTTGGGCATCTTTGGGGGCCCCTATATCTTACACCAAAGACCTCCTATCTAATTTGGACTCATGAGAAATAAGGGGCCTTTATAACAGCCCTAGTTATAACAGATAGGGAAACTGAGGCATGGAGAAGGCAAGCGAGCGGCCCAAGCTCACTCACATCACTAGCAGAAGAGGTGAACTACAAGCCAGGACCTAGCCTGTGGGATTTTTCCAGAGAATATGCTATGAGCATTTTTTCAAAACGTATTCTTCCCACATCCACCCTTTGGGCCCATCCTGATCACCGACCAAAGCTTCTCATATGTTACTGGGTGACTGTGTTTAGGGGACATAGTTACATACGGTGCTGGGGTCTGTTGCCTTCCCCCAAGGAGGCCGGGGGGTGAAAATGAAGGCATTTGAGAGGTGAGGAAACCAGGCAGGCCTGGTCTGGCTACGACATCTGTCCCCTTGGTCACAAGGACAACTGTGGTTCCTGCAAACTTCCTGAAGCCCCTCAAGTCAGTGCCGAAAAGCCAGAGCTCTGGCCTCTGACTTGGGCCAGCCGCTTTCCAGCATGGCCGTCTCTTTGCTATTCCGAGCCCCAGTTTCCTCGTCTGTAGAGTGTGGGGTGACGCCTGCCTCTCCGGGCTCACTGGGGATGACGGAGGAGGGGAGGGGCACGTGGCAGTGAAGGTCATGACTCCGTGGGGACGGGGTAGCCACTCACCATCTGCAGCTTGACCTGGGAGCACGGGGCTTTCCTCTTCACCGATGCAAAGCCACTGGCAAAGGCCCTTCTCACGGCGCGGCTTCTCCGCAGCGCCTGCTGGGAGGTGCCCTCGAGGCCTGCCACAGCCCAGCACACGGGGGGCAGCTTGGCCCGGGCCTGAAACAGGCTCCTCAGCTCCTCCCTGGCAGGTCGGAGGGGAAAGAAAGCGGCGCTGCAGGGGGCTCATGGGAAATGGGTCCACCTTGCTTCCTGCTGACCCGTTTCCCGAACATTCCCGTGGAATCACACATCTGAACTTCATTCCCCGTGCTTTCCACCAGAAGAGCCTCGGCTTTGTGACAAATGCCAGCTCCTTTCTCCGTGCCTCGCTCCCTACCGGACATCTCTCCTTCTACCGGTTATTCTTGTCACTTACATACCTGTGGGAATTCTAGGAAGCCTGTCCTTTCTTACAGGGACAAATGATCTCTGCTACCCCCAGAACAGGTCCAGTACAGAGTGGCTGCTTACTATATGTTTCATGCAAGAGTCAATGACTCACAGGCTGAACAGTCAGTTTCAGAACCTGTCAATGAAATGCCCAGCCAGACGCCGAGCAGCAGAGAGGACCCCCCTCAGCACTCCTGTAATGCACAGGTACTCAGGCTAGCGAGCAGGGCCAGTGCCCCGTAAGTGTCTGCTGTCATAAACCTGAGCTGGCCTGCCTGCTGTTTTGGGCAAAAGAGGATTAAGAAAACTGGGCAGACTCTGCTGTGCCGCAGGATGGGGTTGGGACCCAGAGAAGGCCTCATGCCTCCCAGGTCCCACCGGCCCCACCCCCTCCAATGGAAGCATATGAGCATCCCCCTTCACTCCCTGTAAGTCCAGACCACACCTCCGGCCCCAGCCCGTTACCCATCCTTCTCTATGTCTAACGGGACTATCCAAACTATGAAGGAAGTGAGTCTCAAGTGACTGACTCAAAGGTATTTCAAGTGCTTAAATGCTAGCACAAAGATTAACAATGGGCCAGCACAAAGGTTAACAATGGCTTGAATACATTCTCATTGAAATAAAAAATCTTGGGAGAGGTTTAGGGGAGCCCCCCAGAAACAGGATCCCTGAAAGTAGAGAACAGGGCTCTGGGGGGTATGGGCACCACCCCCTGGTCACACGACATTGGACACACGACATTGGATTAGTCACGTGTCCTCTTTGGGCCTCAGCTAGTGATATATAAAGCAAAAGGGTTTGACCAAAACTTGAGCATGCCTAAGAACTGTTTCCCGGGGACTTTGTCAGCAAAAGAAGTCCCCAGGGCCCTCCCCTAGAGAGGCTGCGTGGGGCCCAGGAATCAGAAAAGTAAGCGAGCAGTTCTGGTGAACCTGGAGCTCTTGGCTACAGAACACCACAGCTAACAAAAAGCACTGTTTGGGGCGGCCGGTTAGCTCAGGTGGTTAGAGTGCAGGCTCATAACACCAAGGTTGCCGGTTCAATCCCCACATGGGCCACTGAGCTGCGCCCTCCACAACTAGATTGAAGAAAACCACTTGACTTGGAGCTGATGGGTCCTGGAAAAAAACACACTGTTCCCCAATTTAAAAAAAAAAAAAAAGCACTGTTTGCTCTCAAAAACCACCAATGCTTGCCTCGCGAGCATGCAAGACATCCGGGTGGGATGTACTCCCAAGCCTGCCACTCTTTCACCCTGTGAGCCTGGACTTTGCACATGCTGTCCCTTCTCCCCAGAACGTCCCTCACTCCCCAGGCCATCTGGTTAATAAAGGTTTGCCTCACCCTTTTCTAACCCTACCCCCCTCACCCAGCTGGAGCCACAGACTTCTAGAGCAGACAGGGAATTTCCAAGACCACAAGACGTGTGCTGAGGGCCTGCTATGAACCAGGCTCCTTAAAAAGCCAGCTCCCATCAGACATGTCAGCATGGCATCATCACTCCTGCTTCTCAGATTATGAAACCGAGGCCTAGGTCGTTCCGCTTGAAAAAAGGCAAAAGCAGAATCTGAACGTTTGCCTGACTCCAAAGTTGTGCCATATCCACCAGATCTTGCAGCCTCGCCCAAAACCCTTAGTTTATGGTGGAAAAAGAAAAAAAAATGGGAGGGAAGGTGCCCAGTCACCCAGGTAACAGGTGGCAGGGCTCAGACTTGACCCAGGTCCGCTGGCTTTCCTTATGCGGTCCTCTGTGTGCTTGTTAACTTCCTTTTGCCCCGTCCACTGACTTGGTCTCTTTTCTGGAGCTGTATAGCTGGGAGCCCTGCTGCATGCAGGTCTCCAATCAACTCTGACCACGTGGCCTGAGAACCCCAAGGATCACTTAGCCAAGTTGTATCGCCACCCTGCCACTATTTTGCTGTGTGATCAAAGGCAAGTCACTTTACTTCCTGGGGCCTCAGTTGTATCATCTTTAAAATGGGGCTACAGATACAGTGTTGCTGTAAGGATTAATAAGATACTTATGAAGCATTTCTCCTGATGCCAGGCACAGAGTGAGTGGTCGGTAAATGTTCCTTCCCCACTCTCACACCCCCAGCACCTCCCTGGTGGCCTCAGCTTCTCGTCTTGTCTCCAAGCTCCGCCTCTGCAGGATGGCAGCGTTGAACTTGGGAAGACGTGCACATGCGCATGTGCACATTTCCCAGCACCTCTCTGAACCAAAGGCAGTGATTGCTGCCATCCCTGCCAACACTTCTGAAAAGAGCAGTCAGGGGATGCTGTGAGCTTTTTTTTAATGCTCTGAAACATTATCACTTCGGTTTTACAACCCCCTCGTTCTAGGCTGTCCATAAAAGTTGTTCCAGTCACATCATCTCTCAGACACTTAATGAAAGGCAAAGAGCCAAGACCAGAAGTCACAGCTTTTAAGCCTGTGTTCCACCTCTCCAAAAGACCAGTTCTTCTCCTCAGCTGAACTCACGCTGGCCCCAGGGAGACATTGCACAGCTCCGATTTGAGTTAACGGTTCTTAGGGACGGGTTCCCAAACCGGCCCTCACTCGCTGGGTTGTTGTAACTGCATGGCCCCCAGTGGAAAAGGAATAGCCGTGCCCCAAATGCCCCTGGCCCATCCCCAGCCCTGGCTGCACTCACCTTTTCGACTGCTGCAGGACCTGGGGGGCGTCCAGCGCCGAGAGGTTGGGCTTGGCCCTGTGGAGCCAGCCCGTGAGGTCATAGCGCACGGGATCCTGTCCCCTCTGGTGGAAAACCTCACACTGGAGGGGCTGCTCACACGACCGAAGGGCAGAGGTCCCTGAAAGTAGGCACAGCGCCTGAGTGTTGGGGCCCAGCAGGGGCATCACCCAAAACACACTTTTTCCATTTTAACCTGTTTCCAGGTTAGCGAAAGCTGACAATTCTGGGGACCCACACTTCTGCTTTGGGCATTTGTGTGCATTATTCCCAACGTGGATTCTATTCCTCCTTGCTTTCTTAAATCCAGGATACCTGTTTTTGCCATGTATACAATCTTCATGATTTTTACCAGACCCATATATCGCCTGAGTTGTTATTAATGTTTTTCTTAACTTGACTCACACTTGTACAGATACATTCATTTATAAAGAAGCATGATATTGCAGGTTTGGGGCGCAAGCTGCATTTATTTTCTAGTATTCATGGAAATAAATAATTATTAAATATTTTGAAAATATTTATTCATGTGCCACCTAAAGTCGTCTTGAATGCCATCAACCAAATAACCGCACAGCCTACTCTTGGGATATGCTGGCCGACACTTCGTCATAAGGGACCAAGAGGGAGAAACCAATGGACTTGGAGTTGGTGAAGACCTGAGTTCAAATCCTGCCTCTACTACTTATTACTCTACGACAGGGGCCAAGACACTTAAATCTCTGAGCCTCAGTCTTCTTTTCTGTAAAATATGATTAAATAATACATACCTCCCAGGGTGGCATAAGGCTCAAAGGAGATAATGTGTGTAAAATATTTCAGTGGAGCGCCTGGCACATAGTTGTCACTCAGTGAGTTGTAGTGGGTGTCACTGCCATTTCCTACATTTACATTTTTTGCTGGTTTTCTGGAGTTACAAGGGGTTTATCTCCTCATGCCCAGTGCCCAACATCATGCCTGGCCATAAGAATGGGGTCTGGAAGCGCTTGTGGAATGAATGAACAAACGAATGAATGAATCAACGAATGAATGAATGAATTGCTGGTCACTGATTATGTCACTCTAATTGCAATGATTCTCTCAAACCAATTATTATCAGGAGTGGTAGCATTGTTTTGGTGTTCGCATCTATTCTGAATGATTTTTCTACATTCCCCCATCCTTCTATTGTCAACATACCAACATGCATGCACTAGGCTCCTGAGTCCCTCCCCCAAATCCTAACTTACTACCTGTACACTGCAGTGATCTAGGAAACGAGGGACCTGCCCTTCTCAGAATTCTGTACAAAATAAATGCAGTCTGAGGGTCTGCAGGCAGCTACTGAGGAAAAGGCATAGGTTCTGCCATCTGTTTGGCTGGTTGGAGGTCCTTTATGCTCACTTCCTGGTCGCCTCTGCATTCTGGGTAACGGAAGTTAGCAGCAAGGAACACTTCTAGTTAAGTGAAGTATCCCTCCCTCAAGAGCCTCCCGTGAGCCCGTCAGAGCAGTGTAGTCCCTCCCAGTGGGCAAGAAAAGCAAGGCGACAAAGTGCACGCCCCACTCCGGCACATACGTCCACGCTGCCTGGACAATGCTGTAGGTATCGGCATGGCTCCCTCCCTGCACGGGGCTACAAGCAATGGGAGGGCAGGGACCATGTTCATTCATTGTTATGTCCGGCAGCCAGCACAGAGCTGGGCTCTGAATGCGGACCCCAACAGCATTTGGGGAGTGGGAGGGGGCCAAGGCAGGAGAGAAGGAAATGCGTTCATGTATTCTAAGCCCAGCCAGCCTCTGCTGGACACGCTACCATGCGTGATGTCATTCCACCCCCACTCTGGTCTGTGATGTGAGCGTCACTGGGCTGGTTTCTACGAGGTGACACTGAGGTTTAGGGAGTTGAGACAGCTTAGCTAAAGCTTCATAGCGGTCGGCCCAGAGACAAGATGAGAACACAGGCCTGCTGATCTCAAAGCCTGTCTCTGTCCAGGATAGCGGCCCAGTACATGGAGGTACCACGTTTCCCAAGAACCACCTGGAAAACAGCTCCCAGGACACAGGCCTGCTCACTGCCCTCACCCTCCCCTTTCTCCTAGAGTTGGTTTCCCACCACAGCTTTGCTCATCCAAGCATCTCACAGGCTGCTTTTGCTTTCAGGAGTCCCTGAAACGCCTGTAAGACGTGGCGTCAACACCGTCACCCCCACCCCCAGCAGCCTGACTCCCCAGACTGGGGTAGGGGTTTCTCCAGGCCCCTGTGCCCCGGGCATCCACCCCCGATGGCTGCGATGTGAATGCCAGTACCTGACTGTCCACTGGGCCCAGGCTCCTCCGTGAGGGCTGCCCCCAGCCCTGTCCTGGGCCCACCGTCCAACAAATGTACCTTAGCTGAGAGGTAATGGATAGTGAACCCTGGGTTAGCCAGAAAGCCCTACCTGTCTGCTTGATTGAACTCATTAACTCAGAGCTAATCAGGAAGCCCTAGAGACAAAAGATATTTTCTTCATTTTTTTTTTTTTTAACCAAAATGTCTGAGTTAGTGTGTCAGTCTCAGTGGATGCCCCTGGGAACTGAGAGCCTTCCAGCGTCCTGCTGGGGGTGTCTGGGATTGGCACCATTGGGCCTCACAGGAAAATAAGAGGGAGCCACAAATCTAGCTGAGTCCCCTCCTGTGCCATCCACTCCCTACAAGACACCATCTGCTTCCGACCCTATTTTTTGTCTCTTTTGCCCAAAAGTCAAGATCTAGAAAACATTGCATTTGAGGAATCTATTTCATCCAATTCTGGACCACTGGGTTTTCACGTATTCATCTAGTCTGTCTCCTGACTCATTGCACTCCTCACTGTGTCAGCCCTGCTCTAGGTGCTATGGATACGGAGGTGACCAGACAGGCCCCTGCCCTCGCAGAGCTGACCTTCCGTGAGGACAAATGCCTGAGGCCCCATGGGGAAGGCTGCCATGGAGCAGAGGAAAGTAGGGGAAGGAAGACAGGAATGCAAGGGAGAAGGGGTTATAATCTCTTTTTATAAGGACACCAGTCATCTTCAATTAGGACCCGCCCCCATGACCTCACTTAACCTTAGTGGCCTCTTTAAAGACCTTATCTCCGCCAGTCACTAATGCATATATATATATATATATGTATATATATATATATATATATATATATATATATTAAAACATTGTATTTGACCAAAAAGTTCTTTGCTTTTCTTCTGCATTTTAACCGAAATAAAAATATTTTCACGGGCCCTAAAAGCGCCCCAGGCCCCAGGTACTGTCCCTCCTGTGCCTGGTGGAGAAGTCGGCTCCAGGTCAGCTGCTTTCAGAGCCAAGCTCTCTGGGAGTAATTTATGACTGGTTACAAGAGAATAGGATACGGACACACACGGAGGAAAGACACAGGAAGAAGACGGCCATGTGCAAGCCAAGCAGAGAGGCCTCTGAGTGAAATCCAACCTGCGAACACCTTGATCTTGGCATTCCAGCCTCCAGAACTGTGAGAAAATTAATTTCTGTACTAGACGCCTCAGGGGGATCACTTCGTAAATTATATAATAAATGTCAAACCATTATGCTGTTCACCTGAAACTAATATAAAATAATATCGAATGTCAACTGTGACTGAAAAATAAAAATAATTTAAAAGCATATAAATAAATAAATACAATAATAAAAACAAATGAGAAGAAAAAAGACCCTATCTCCATATACAGCCACCTTCTGAGGCACTGGGAATTAAGGCATCAACATATAAATTTTGGAGGGAGGGATATAATTCAGCCATATATATATATATATATATATATATATATATATATATATATATATAGTATTTGGTCTATAAGTTCTTTTTTTTCCTTCTGCTTTTACAGAAATGAAACCATATTCACGGGCCTTGAAAGCACCACAGGCCCCAGGCACTGCCCCTCCTGCGACAGGCGGAGAAGCCGGCTGCAGGCCAGTCGCTCTCGGAGCCAAGCTCTCTGGGAGTAATTTGGGCATTAGTGCGCTGAGCTTGGTCCTAGGGGAGCTGCTGGAGCCATCAGATGCTGCTGCTGCTTAAAAAACCATCCTGATGTGAACGCAGCAACGCTTCATGAGTGTCCCAGGCACAGGACTTGGCTGGTTGCCTGGGGGCAGAGGCTCCCGAGGGGGCATGGCAGCACCGAGAGCTGTCATTTGTCCTTCTCCAACTCTTCCCCAGTTTCTCACACACCACTCCCGTCCAACGTCTGCCCCGAACACGCCATTGAAATGGCACTTGTCTCGGTCGCCAGTGACCTCACCTGGCCAAATCCGTGGCACACCCCTCAGCCACACCTCACGTGACTGCTCAGCAGCATCTAATCCGGCCACTCCCCATTCTCCCAGGTGCCCTCCCACCTCCCTGCCACTCCCGCCTCAGCCTCCTTTGTGGTCACTCACCTTGTCCCGGGGCCCCTTGACAATGGAATGTCCCCGGGCCATCTTTGGCCATCTTCTCTGCCAACCCTCCTTCCCTTAGAGACCTCAACCAGGATGATGGGCCACACCAGGCTGGTTCACCACGACAGAGCATGGCGTCCAGCACAGAGTAAGCCGCTCCGCACATGTGTGGGATCCATGAATGAACACATGAATGAATGAAGCACACACAGACATCTCTGCACTCAGACCCCACCCTGTGCAGGCCTCGTCAGGGCTTTTCCCGCAGCTAACAAGGACAGGCGCCAACTCCTGAACTCAGTACCTTCTCCTCCTTACTCCCTTACCTTCGGCCCCAGCTCCTTTCTTCTCGAAGGCTGCACAGAGACGCTCGAGCACCACACTCTCACTGGCGCCCTCCACCCGGACCTCCTCATCCAGGGCCCAGAAAAGGCCCTTGGCATCCTCAGCACCTCCTCCAGCTGGTAAGCGGACCTGGTGGGAGATCCAGGATACACTGAGAGGCCCCAATCCCTCACCGATGCCAGTCCCAGGCTTTCCTTCCTACCTATGGGAGTCAGAGGATCCGAGTCCCGGGCCAAATCCATGTTCCCACTCACCCTGGCTTCCCACTCACCCCAGATTCTCAGTGTTAAAACCACAAAACTCTAACAGCCTCTCAGTTCCAAGGGGTCCAAACCATGCCTCTCTCCTCACTTCCTATGTGACCTTGACCAACTCACTGCACATCTCTGAGTCTCGCTTCCTCTCAATGTGAAATGACACTGGCAGTGGCTCCTTCCGAAGGCTGGCCGTGTGAGGGTTTCACAAGAAAAAGCACCGTGTAAAGGACATGTTTCCAGACACACACAGGTGGCTGTGTGTGTGTTTGTGTGCAGCCAAACAGGAAAGGGTGCATTGTATCTGCATCGCTTTCTCTTAGAAGTCTTGGTGCTTTTTTAAACTAAAATCTTGAGGGGTGGGGGGGGGGAAGTGCCCTCATAATGTTTCGGAGGAGAAGGAGAACTTGGTTTGATGGCACAGACACAGAATTTTAAATCTAGCTCCGAGCTTCAGAGACCATCTAAGCAATGCTGTAATTTTGCACATGGGAAACTGAGAGAGACCTGGGGGTTTGAGGGGCTCCCCCTAGGGCCCATCGTGAGTTGGCAGAACAAGGAATGACGCTGAGTGGTTACGGAGGACACGTGATGTGTACAGGGACCAACTTCCCTTGTCGACGGGGACTGAGGGGAGGACTTCAGTGCGAAAGCCAGCGAAACCCCTGGCAGACCAGGGCTGTTGGCTACCCTAGCTCAGAAATCTCTGTCCACACTCCTCAGAGGCCCAGAGGGGAAACGGGTCATGTCCAGAGTCACATGGAGAGACACAGGGGCAGAGCTGGAAGTGCATCCCCGGAACCTGAGTCTCCACCTGGACTTTCTTTGTTGGGGTTGAAATCAGCAGGCAGCCCATCCTCAGAAGGCAGCCGTTCCCAGCCACCGCCCAGGCATCTGGGGACACCATGGCCCTTCTCTCCTCACATTGCCTGGGTCGTCCCTTCAGAGCTGCCCTTTCCAGGTAAGGAAACATGACAGGGAGGAGAAAACACCAAAAGGTGCCAACAGGATGCAAAGCCCATGATGGCTGGCAGGGCTCACAGACAGGGAGCTTTGCAGGGAAAGTGTAACTCATGGTGAGCCAGGAGGAGCCTCGGAAATCACCCCTGGCTGACAGCAGACAAGGAATGAGGAAAAGGGCAGCCTGTGCTATCAAATGGCAGGAGAAACGAGGCCTGCAGGACACCTACTATGTGCCAAGCACTCTGCCAGGTGCTTTACATGCCAGATCTCACTGATATTCATGACAACCCCAGGGGATGCGATCATTTCCTTTTGGGTGATGAGAAAGCTAAGACATGGAGAGGTGAAGTGACGTGCTGAAGGTCACCAAGATTGGAGCTGAGCCTGGCAAGCTGAGTGAAATGGTCCAGGGCGGTTATGGGAAAGGGTTGAGCAGAGGTGCAGGTCTGGGGTCAGCAAAATGGGTTCTCGGGGTGGGGAAAGTGAGGGAGATAAAGGCTCAGATACCCCCAAATTAAAGTCTGTCTGCCCCCAATGGAGGTCAGGGGCCTGGATCCAAAATTGCCCCCATTCTCCATCCCCCATGGTCCCTATCTTCCCGGTCTCTGCCAGGCACATCACTTTCCTCTGAACACCTGACCTTTTCAGGAGAGAGTGGCTGGAGGCCACCCGGCACTGGCCTGAACCCCCCTCAGCTCCCAGGTGTAAGCACATTCTAAGACACAGACTCAGGCATAACACAGAGGGTAGTTCTCACCCCTGGAGCATTTAAATATTCGTTGCCCAGGTCACACCCCCCAGACCAATCCACGCAGAATTGGGGAGTACCTCCAAAGTGTCAGTGTTTTTAACAATCCCTGGGCGATTCCAGGTGCAGAGAGCACTGACAGCTAGTAGCTTAAAGGCTCAGATCTGCTTGCATTTCAGTAAAAAGGCCTCTGGGTACCTGAGAGTCTTGGTTTGCTGGGCCCTGTGTTACCTGGGAAGGGTTCTGATCCATAAGGGCCACCGTGGTCCCCGGGGATGGCTCCGGGAGGCCAAACTGCACAGGAAGACCTTCCTGGAAAGTCACAGAAATTCAACGTTAGTTCCTTCCGTGAGCTGAACAGGGCGGAAAACTTCTGGAGAGGGAAAGAGAAGCGAGGACTTTTCATACCCCTTAGGCTTTTTTCAATTGTTACTTTTAATTGTGGTAAAATATACATAAAATGTACCATTTGAACCACTTTTAAGTGTACAGTTCAGTGGCATTAAGTACATTCACACCGTTATGCACCCATCACCACCACCCCTCTCTAGATGTTTTCTCATCTTGCAAAGCTAAAACTCTACACGCATTAAACAACAAGTCCTCCTGCCCCAGCCCCTGGCAACCACCATATACTTTCTGTCTCTATGAATTTGATCCTCTAAGTATCTCATATGAGTGGAATTACACAGCTATTGTGACTGGCTTGTTTCACTTAGCATAATGTCCTCAAGGTTCATCCATGTGGTAGCATGTGTCAGAATTCCCTTCCTTTTCATGGCTGAATAATATTCCATCGTATGGATACATGACATTTTGTTTACTCCTTCATCCATGGATGGACATTTGGGTTGCTCCACCTTTTGGCTTTTGTAAATAAAGCTGATATGAACATGGGTGTGCAAATATCTCTTGAAGACCTTGCTTTCAGTTCTTTTGGATAGATACCCAGAAGTGGAATTGCTGAATCATACAGTAATTCTATTTTTAATGTTTGAGAAAACATTATACTGTTTTCCATAGCAGCTGTACTATTTTATGTTCCCACCAGCTATGCATAAGGGTTCCAATTTCTCTGCATCCTCACCTACACTTGTTATTTTCTGGTTTGTTTGCTTTTAATAGTAACCATTCTAATGGGGTAAAGAAGTATCTCAAAGAGTTTTGATTTGCATTTCCCTGAATTAGTAATGTTGAGCATCTTTTCATGTGCTTATTAGCCATTCGTGTATCTTCCTTAGAGAAATATCTATTCAGGTCCTTTGCCCATTTTTTAAACAAGTGTTTGTTTGTTTGTTTGTTTGTTTGTCTGTCTGTCTGTCTATCATCACCCCTTAGCCTTTGTATGAGAAGGAAGGTCACAGACCAACATTCCAAAAACATCCTGTTTCTGTTCAACCTGCATGGTTGTCACAAATCATGGTGAGAACTTTATCAGGAACTGATAATTCAGCCCAAACTTTTCTAACATTTACTGAGTACCTAGTAGGTGCTGGGCTGTGTGCTGGGCACTGGAGGAAGCATGCATAAACTATGGATAATATTAGTTGCCATATAAAAATAACCAGCTCCAGACAGCACTATGCACAAAGATGTTCACCACAGTGTTGTTTATATAATAATAGCTTCATCACAGAAATCACCCAGATGTCCAAAGGAGAGCTGGGACAGAAAAAGACATCGCCACTGAAATGCATGGTGACTGCGAGTTGTAAATAGAGTGAGGAAATGTGAATAACATAATGCTGGGAGGAAAACAGCAGATGGCAAAATTGGGTACACAGAAGGATCCGAAATCTGTAGAGAAGACAAGATACGGAAAGATGACTGGTATCAAATACAGAAAGTGGTACCAGTGGCTGCCTCTGAGTGGTGGGGCTAAGGAGATTGTATTTTCAGCAGTTGACTCTGATATTCACTTCCCAGATTTTTAATAAAGAACATGTATGACTTTGATCATCAGAATAAGTGAATTAGTCTGGGGAAGATATGATAGCTGTGACCACCTATTGAATGCCTAAGAGATTAGGCACTTTCTATCGAACTTCATTCAATACTTAAAACAGCCTCTTTAGGCAGTGTGGTGAAAACAACTATAAAAATACCCCCCCTCCCATTCTCTCCCGATCCCTGTATCCACTCTCTGTACAGCGATATTGCAGTTTCTCCCATCAAGAAGTGGAACCTTGATGTGACCAACTGAATACAGCAGAAGTAGCACTGCCAGTTCCAAGTCTCGACCCTGCACGTGTCTGCTCGCTCTCCTGGAACCCTGCCAGGGCCACGAGAACAGCCTGGGCTAACCTGATGGAAGACTGGACATTCCTGGAGCACAGACGAGTCACCCTAGCTCATGGCCAGCTGACTCCCAGACACAATGGAGAGACCACGGCCAGCCAAGACCATCAGAGCCATCTACTTGACTTGCATCTGACCACAGGCAGAAGAAGTCTCCCAGCCAAGACCCAAAGAGCCTCCCAGGTAACCCAGAGGCTGAGAAGTAATCACAAAAGGTTATTGTTAAAGCCGCTGCGGTTGGGGTAGTTTATTAGGTAGCATTATTGTGGTGAATGGTAACTGATGCAGGAGTATTGTTATTTCTATTTTACATGTGAAGAAATCGAGGATCAGAGAAGGTGAGAGACTCTCCTAGGACCACACAGCCAATCAGTGACAGAGAGTCAAACTGCAGGTCTTATCGGTGTCATTTCTTTGAGGTGTATCCATGTTGATGCTTTCATGTTTATTGCTGTGTGAGCTCCAACCAAAGAAATGACCATAATTTCAATATCCCTTACATATTGAAAAATAATATGGTCATTTCTAATACTTTGCCATTAGCACTTGGAGTCAGTGGGGTCCCCTTCGGGGAGGATGGAGGGGGCAGCCATCTGGGGTGCTGGCAATGTTCTACTTTTCACCTTCAAGGTAGATGCATGAGTTCCTTTGTTTGAAGAAATCCATTGCATTGCGTGCACACTTCTGATATATGCTCTTTTCTCGTATACGTGTTATATTTCAGTGTAAACTTTTTTCTTTTTAATGAGAAAAGAAGGGCTGGCAGGAACAAGCCTGTCTGTGTTTCCTGGTTCGTACACATAGTTTCTTCAGGATGCCTCAGAAATGGGGAATTACATCTTTCACGTTGTTAAATATTCCAACATCATGATCCAAAGTGCAAAGCCACTGTTTTCACCCAAAACCACAGCATGTGGGGTTTTCCAGGTCGAGGAAGATGCAATCTCAGAGGAGGAATTAGCTTAGGTGAAGTGGGCAGGAGAAACAGGTCATCCCAAAGAAAGGACAGCTATGAGAGAAAGGCCTGGGGAGCCCCAAGTTTCCTGGTGTACCTGGTATACAGGGTGCAGGGGCCATAGCTGAAGGTTGGGAAGCCAAGAGAAATGGGGGGACCAGGCCTGGAGTTAGGGTTTTGTTCAGTGGTGGGCCAAACAGGGTGAAGCCAAAGGTTACCGGAGGACCGGACCCCAACCTTGTCTGGCCTCATACCCTCTGCTGAGCCCTGGTGAAGACCTCGCTCCCGCCCAGCCATACCTCGCGGTATCTCTCCAGCGTGGAGACGAAGGTCCGCTGGTAGAAAAGCAGCTGCAAACGCTCGTGAGTATAATTGTGGCACAGCTCCTCGAAGGTGGCGGCCCGCTCTTTGCCCTGGTGCCGGGGGTTTTGAAAGCCTGGAGAGTCCACCACCATGATGGAGGCCATGGAGAGGTGATGGGAGGAGAAGGATCTGGGAAGAGAGGGGTAAGCCCCCAAGATAACATGGACTCTTAGAGCCCCGCTGGCCCAAGCCGCCCACTCCCCCATCACAGAGATGGAGAAATCAAAGCAGCATGCTGGGTGGGTTGGGGGATCTACTTTCAAAACTAGGCTCCCCACATCAGGCTGTGTGACCTGTGGTAAGTTAATTCACCTCTCTGAGCATGGATTCCCCCAATTGTCAAATGATGGTAGGGATGGTAGGGTGAACCCAGAGGCTGCAGTTAAATCGAAGGAGTTAGAGTATGGCAAGCGCCTCCCGTGGATACAGCAGGCCTTCCAGAAATGATCTCTCCACACCAGTCCTGGAGTGGAGAAATGACTTGCTTAAGGTGGCATGGCAAATTGCCTATACAGTTAATATTAGAGCCTCCTTTTCTTTCTTAAGAGACACATGGCAATACAAAAACAATTTTGTTCGGTGCCTCAGTTCACCAAGTACTTTTAAGCCGTCACCTCCTCGGGTCCTCTTGAATCTATCGGGGTGGACAGAGGAGGGATTATTCACATCAAAATGCAGGAGTTAAGGGACTTGGGAGACAGTCACAAGTGGGCTTCAACACTTGCTCGGCAACGGAGGGGCTGTGTGTCTTGGGGGAACTGCCCAATCTCTGAGGCAGCCATGAAAGGGTTAATGATGGAGCCGAACTCAGAGAGCTGCTGGGAGGGTTGGATGTGATAAGGCACCGGTTGTCCTGAACACAAGTTTGGCTACATGGGAAGAGCTCAGTAAACACTATCTGCTCATCAGCTCCAAGTCAAGTCATCTTCAATCTAGTTGTGGAGGGCCCCCAGCTCAGCTCCAAGTCAAGTAGTTGTTTCAATCTAGTTGCGAAGGGTGCAGCTCACTGGCTTATGTGGGGATCAAACCAGCAGCCCTGGTTAGAGCGCAGCAGCACTGCGCTCTAACTAGCTGAGCCAACTGGCCGCCCCTATCTGCTCTTATTATCATTAGCATGATCGGCCTCGTACGCTTTGAAGGGCCCTTTGTGTGAACCCTGGCTCTCCTCTGTTACTTGCCAAGGTTTTCCATCTATCTGTACAATGGGGCCAGTGAGATCAACCGCTCCATCGTCATGTGTGAAGATCAAGTCAGTGAATGCTCGGAAAGTCAGACGCCTACTAGGTGCTCGTGAATGGTGGTCGTGGGTATTATTATCACCAACGCACGTATTTTACAGATGTGGCTCCAAGCACGAAACCCTGAAGGAACGGCCTTCCGCAGGCCAAGGCAGCTTCCTCTGTCAGCAGTTCATTTCCACCCCCAGTTCGCCTTCCTCTTAAGTGCACACCATCCCCTGTGGTTTCTAGATAACGTGTCTCTGGTCTCAGATGGTAATTACTCCAGCAGCAAGAGAGGGAGTGGATTCTATGTCCTGGTGACATTGGAGAACCCCGGCTGCTCTGTTGCTATGCACCAGCCTCATCCCCTTCACAGGATGTCGGGAGCCTAATTATGCTTCCTGCTTTCCCAGAGGAGGGAGGGGCTTGCTGGGGTTCTGGATACACCCCGCTAAAATTGCCTAAAGCTTTCCAAGGCCCGGGCTCAGAGCTCACTCATTATGAGAAAACAGAGGCTCCAATGCCTACAGCCCTATAGACACATTTCAGAGATGCATCCTGACCCACTCTGAAATTCTTCCTGGGTTGCTCCCCATTGCCAGCAGAAAATTTTAGAAAAATAAATGGGGGAGAGCAAGTTGGTGGGTTATTCAAGGAAACCTGAAGGTGTGAGAGGGGAGTACGGCATTGTGTATGCATCCCGGCTCCACCTCTCTGCCTTAGTCGCCTCATCTGTACAATGGGCAGATGTGAGTATTAAACGATGCAGGTGAGTTAAACAATTAGGGCAGGCCCTGGCCCTTAGTCGGTGTCCCCAAATTGTTAGCTTTTATTGTTGGTATTTCATGATCACGATTAGGAAGAGTTATTTCATTACATTATCTCTTTTAATCCTTGCAATGACTCTGGGGGGTAGAGCTATTGTACAAATGCAGAAGGGGAGATCAGAGAGGTGAATTGATTTGCCAATGTCACAAAGTCAGTGGGTGGCCAAGGTGGAATTTCAATCCAGCACTCTGCGGCTAAAAAAAAAACCAAACCGCCACTCTCCAGCTCAAAAAAACCCCCACTCTGCTAAACTGCCCCATGCTTGGGCCTGTTCATGCATCTGCAGAGGCAGTTACCTGTTGATGAGTGAGACCACGGCAGCAAAGAGCTCTTGGTACAGGCCGGAGGCCATCCCCTCCACACACTCCACGCCCGTCATCTTGAGCCCTGGAGTGGGAGAGAGAAAAGGGTTGGCATCTTGTGGTCAGGACCATGACTGAGAAATCACCCCAGAGGCATCACAGTTGCCTTAGACAGTCCCCCTCCCTCACACACATCCCCCCCCCCAGAATTGCATACCCATGTTCTTAGGACCAAGTTCAAGTGTCTTATCAGGACCTCAGCATAACCTGGCCCTACCTCCTCTCCAATGTGCTCTCCTGCTTATCCCTCAGAGCTCATCCCAATGTCACCTCCTCAGGGAAGCCTGCCTTGACCACCACCCCAATAGGCCAATTCCCAGCTCTACCTTGCTTTTTTTTAAAGTAATTTTTTATTGAGGTATGATTGACATACAGAAAGCTGCACCTACCTATTTAATGTATACATCCTGATGAGTTTGATAAACTCACCATAAACATAACCATCACCTCTAAAAGTTTTCTCCCTCCCTCCCTCTGTGTGGGTATGTGTTTGTGATAAGAACAGTTAACATAGGTCTCCCCTATAAAAATGTTAAGTACACAATGCATCATTGTTAACTATAGGTGCTATGCGGTACAGCAGACTGACTCATCTACCGATCGTCTCATCCATCTAATTATTCCTCTGCTCCCCAGGATTTATTTATTCATCCTGCATAAGTAAACTATGGACCCTCTGATCAGTATCTCCCATTTTCCCCTCCCTCTAGCCCCTGGTTGCTATCGTTCTACTTTCTGCATCTATGAGTTTGACAACTTTAGATTTCTGATATTAGTGGGATCACATAGTATATTATTCAAATGTGCCATTTGCTACAATGTGGGTGAACTTCAAGATCATTATTATGCTACGTGAAATAAACCAGACACAGAAGGACAAATTTACCCTGTTTTTATAGCACTGACCACAGCATATTGTTGCTTGTGTGGTTATTTTATTAACCTGTGTCTCCCCCGTCACACAGGGGTGCCCTGAGAATTGCAACGGTCTGGGTTTGTTGGCTGCCGAGTGTCCAGTGCCTGACACATAGTAGGTTCTCCGCAAATGCTTGTTGTTTCCTCCTTCTGGAGGGAAATTTGGCTATTTTATATCAGAAGCCATAAAATGTTCGTATACTTGGACTTAGTAATTTCCCTCTCAGGCTTTTGTTCTAATGAAATATTCAGAGAAACAAAGATTTCTGGAACCGTGTTTTCCCAATTGTTGATTACACTGGCAAAAATCATTTTTTCGAAACAACTTGAATAGCCAATGATAGCTAATAGGTTAGATAATTGGTAATCCATCCCTACAAAAGAATGCTTATAATCAGGTATAGAAGAATATTGCATTAGATGGAAAAATGCCTACCTATAATGTTAGGAGGACATTGTAAAAAAGCTTACAAAACTGCTATTACAATTGTGGTCTCAATTTTGTTTAAACACACACACACTTTCTGGTACCATTACAATAACCAGCTTTGATTAGGGTGCACTGGACAAAGAGGAGTGAGGATATGGGGTGGGATAAGGGTGTCAGATCACAAACCCCGACCCTTAGGTTTTGGTTCCACCCACAGAATTGGAAACACAGTGTCCCAATGTGCAGGCACTCTTGCTTGGAGAAATAGTCCTGCTTGCACATTCCAAGCAGCCAGCTGCAGCCCCAAAGCATTTCCCATCCCTCCTTTATTTCCACCCCCAACCTGGGCCGTTGCTAGGCAACTTCCAGCCTCCCAGCATCTCTCCTAAACCTGCTGGTCCCCTGCCTGCTTAACATCTACCCTGGAGACCTCAGCCTGAGAGGCTGGCTTAGCCTCATAAAGCAGTGTGTGTACGTGTGTGTGTGCGCACACATGTGCGTGTGTGCAGTATCTGTGCCCATGTGCATGCTTTGAGTGGTTGGGCACATGTGTGCACAAGTCTGTGCATGTGTGTGTGTGTGTGGGGGGTGTCAGAGAGGAGGTGTAACCATAAGCAGACAACAGCTCACACCTGGACCTAGAAGAAAAAATAAAAGGCCAGTGGAGCCCAAGTGACATTAGCCTTCAAGCTGATGTCCCTAGAAAGATGGAGCAGTTCTGAGGACCCAAGGGGCCTCTACGAGGTTGGGCACCAAAACCACAATTCAAAACAATGCTCCCCACTAATCCCAGACTCCAGGGTCTGCAGGACAGCTGCTCTTAGAGTTCTCAGAGACCCCTGGCTTCCAAGAGGTTCCTCCTCCCTCACCTTCTGCAGCCAAAGCGTCTAGCTCAGCGGACCCCACTTTGGCAAGCATAGCACAAAGCCCTCCTGCTCTTCTCCCACATCCATTCAAAGTATCCCTGTTCTTCCTGCTGCTCAGGCCAAAATCCTAGATGCCACCCTGGTCTAGGTGGTGTCTAGGCCTCACTTTGCCCCAGGACCCAAGCTGTCATCGGTTTGTAAACTAGGCCTCGCACACATGTACCTTGTTTATCTCCACTGCCTCTTCCCTTGTCCAAACACCGACATCTCTCCCGGTGACTTTTATAAGGTTCCTAAATGCTCTCCTGTCTGCCACTTGTTCCCCAAGCTTTCTCTAGGGCAGCGGTTCTCAACCTGTGGGTCGCGACCCCTTTGGGGGTCGAACGACCCTTTCACAGGGGTCGCCAGGTACTTGTATGTGGGCGTATCTGCATGTGGGCCTGGAGACGGATAGAGGAGCGGTGTCTCGGTTCCTAAGACCATCAAAAATCTGTGTTTTCTAACGGTCTTAGGCGACCCCTGTGAAAGGTTGAGAACCGCTGCTCTAGGGCATGCTTCGTGAAGAACAAGTCAAACCATGCTATTTCCCTGCTCATGCCCTTCCCTGGCTTCTCACCGGTTTGAGAATAAGAAACCCTGATTGGGCCGGTCGACTGGCTCAGTTGGTTAAGAGAGCAAGCTCTGAGCAACAGGGTCGCCAGTTCGATTCCCACATGGGCCAGTCAGCTGCACCCCAGCTGAGCTGCTGCTGAGTTGCCAACAGGTAGCAGGATGGCTCAGCTGGTGAGAGCATGTGCTCCTAACAACAAGGTTGCTGGTTCGACTCCTGCATGGGTTGTTGGGCTGCGCCCCCTGCAACTAAGATTGAACACGGCACCTTGAGCTGAGCAGCTCTGAGCTACCAACTAGACTTGGAGCTGAGCTAAATGCACCCTCCAAAACTAAGATTAAAGGACAACAACTTGGCTGTTCCCCTTCCCCAATTCTTCAACACTGTTCCCTTTCCCCAATTCCCCAATAAAAACATTAAATTAAAAAAATCTTAAAAAAAAAAAAGAAACCCTGGTTTACTGACTCGTGCGTGAGCTGACCCCTGGCCTTGCTCACTGTTCTCCTCGCTGCTCCAGCATCTTGGCCCATCTATGTTTCTACAGTGTCCTGTCTCCATAGCACAGGGCCCCATCCTGGCTTTCAGCAGCCATCAGAGAGACCACCGGAGACAGCTACTATTTGACCATAAGCACTGTGCACGGAGGAGCCAAGTCCGTGTTCATTTCTGCCCACAGAGGCTTCCTTTTCACCCAGAAGGTCTGCATATAGTAGCCCCTCATGAAATCCTTGATGAATCGGTGAAAACACGCTGGAATGTCCCCAGGGACTGGCCCAGCGTGGACCCAGCCTACCCAGAGAGGCAGCACTGCAGGTACCTGAGTTGGTCTCCTCATCCGCAAGGCCCCGTCGGCTCGGCCCATGCGTCACTTGCTCAATGATCTGCCGCAGGTGGTGCTTGAAGGTGGCCGTGTTCAGCTCCTCATAGTCACAGCCCAGGGCCTCAGCCGCGTGGTTTGCCCACTCAAACCGCATGAACTGCTTCCGGCCCACTATGTGAGGGACAAAAAGAAGGATGGTGGTGAGGTCCTAGGCATGGGGTGGGTGGGCATCCAAGAAGACCTGGGAGAACTCGCCACCTTCCACCTTCAGCAGGAGACTGAACAACTGCCCAGGCCTGGGCCCCTAGTGGATGGCCACTGGGCAGGGCTCAGGTTTCTCAAGAGACATGTTTATCCTATTTCCTTGCAATTTGCATTATTCATTTTTTGAAAGCAATTAACAATATCATGGTGGACATTCTAAACATGGAATTGGGGAATGGTTAGTAAAAGTATGATTTTTACTATTCACTTATCTATCCATCCACCCATCCACTACCCCCTGCCACTCACCTACCTATCCAATCAACTACCCACCCAGCCACATAGCCAACCGTGTAATGAGCCATCCATTTATTCACTATGTATTCATGGAGCTGCTACTATGTGACAGGCACTGTGTGTTGGCCACTGGGAAGTCGGTGAGAAGTGAGACAGACAAGGTGCCTGTTCTCATGGAGCTTACAGTCTTTTGAGGGAGAGAGACAATAAACAAGTGAGCAAACAATAAACAAGATAATCGCAGGTGATAAAATTATTAAGTTATTATTTTTCCTTTAACAAGAAAATAAAACAGGGTGGTGAGATCAAGAAAAACTGAGGGAATTGCTATGGATATATAGTATCTGAGAATGTGATAACTTGACATGGGTTATAAAAGGTGAGAGGGAGCTGACCACAGAAAGAACCAGGGAGAGCTCTAGCAGTAGAAGGCCATGCAAAGGCCCTGAGGCACAAATGAGCATGGTGTGGTAGAGAAACGCCCAGAAGGCCAGGTGGCCGGTATGTAAAGAGGGGAGGGGCGTAACCAGAAGAGGCTGAAGAAGCCATGGAACCGCTCTATAGACTCTTACAAGGCCATTTCAGGTCAGCAACAAAGACATTGCACGACATGGACGATGCTTACAGTCAAATGTTAAGTGAAAAGCGAACTAGAAAACCACATCATGGTATGACGTCAACTGTGCATATCACTCTAAACTGCTATAAAAAAATAATAAATATTAACGATCACAACTGGGCCGGGGGATTCTGTATTTTAAAGCTTTTCTACAGTAGTTGCATAGTAATTTTGTGGTCCAAATGCAAAAATAAATGATTTATTAAAACAAATAACAGTGTCATCCTTAAATAATTTTCTCCTATATCTTATCATGCCCACAAATGTGTTTCCTTCTTTGAAATAAGAACAACAACTGCCAACAGAGATTTCACAATCCATCAGCAAGAGATCATGAGGAATCTTGAAGAATCTGCCTGGTTTAAAGCAAAATTGGAGATTGGACAAAAAAACTTTATCTGGGACTTTGACACCGCCCGAGGAGGTGCTCTGGCCCTAGTCACAGAGGAGTCACAAATAGTCCCCGCTTATTGAAGTCCTCCTATTGCCAGGTACTCAGCACTGACCACCGTGAAAATATCATTTTATTATCTGCATCTTACAGGTTGTTCCCCGGGTACCTATGATGAACCTGAGACTCACAGAGGCGACATGCTAATAAAAAAAAGTCCTGTCATTTTCAAAAGTGATGAAGAAGGTGATAATGATGGTGGTGATGACAACAGTGACCACTCATTGACCCCATTTTATTCAACAAGCCATCTTTGTTCATCTCATGACTTTTGGAGTCAGAAAGTCTGTGTTTGAGTTCCTGGTGTGACATGCGGAAACAGCTCAATATTAGTTGTCGTTACTTATCATCCTCATCATCATCATTATTAAATCTTCACAAGAGTCCTAGAAAGCAGTGTGATCGTTCCAATTGTATAAATGAGAAAACTGACTCAAAGCAGTCGCCAGAAACCAGACTGATACTAAGTGGAAGAACTGCTATTATTTCTCCCAAATCAACCCTTCCAATACCCACCTTTAGGAAATTTGCCAGATCCTTGTAACCCTAGATCAGACTTTCTTTTGAACAGACTCTCTTATCTTTTTCATGTAAATAAATACATTGTGCATGGAAATGTTAAAGCGCTATCTTAAATGAGAACCCATTTGTTGGAGGATGTCACTGAGAGCACATGACGGCAGTTGAGCTAGACCCGGGCAATCAGAGACTCCTCACCCACCCCCACTGTCCTTGAATATACCGACTGCCTGCTGTCCTCATATCAGGAGCTGCTTCAAGGACGCAGCCTTGAGAGCATAAGGTGTTGATGAGACCCTCTGGACTGAATATCTGACTGAACCCCATTAAGGCCTCTATATAAACTTTTCAGATTCTGGCAGGCGGGTATGGAGATCGACGTTGTCTTGAGGTCACTCAAGACAAGCCTCCTAGGTAGGTCCCCTTGTTTATTATACCAGCCAGCTACCAATCTGGAGGGGTCTGCCTCTTTCTTCCGCCCCTCGCCCTCCCTGTACTGGGGCCAGTGTGTGACCCAACACCATGATCATTTGTCACAAAGAGAAAGCAGAAATAAATACAATATGAGCACAGAAATATCATTAGAATCTAATTAGGTACGGTTACCTGGGAGCCTGAGGTCTGCTCCCTTTTTGTTAAAAAGGAAAATTAGCATGTATTAGAGGAAGGCATTAAAGGCTATTAGCCCTGAATGAGACTCTCTTCTTCCTGTGCTGGGGGTTGAAAGTGAATTAAATAGGTGGTAACTGACTAGGCAGGCAGGCAATGTCCTCTGACTGGCAGGCAGGCAGTGTCCTCCCCCTCTCCTGCCCCATCACCCCTCCACTGCCTCTCTCTAAAACAGTCTCCCACACTCCACCTGCAGTGACCTTCCTTAGCCTCACAGAGCTAAAAAAAAAATGTCACCAAGGGAATTGACAATGGCTTTTCTGAAAACAGGAGTAGCAAATGGACTTGGCTAGGCTCTCTAAATCCTGCCTGACTTAAGGGGAATATTTCTAAGTGCTCTGAGCACCATCCCGCTGGTGAAGTCCAGGATGCACACAGGGAGCTTTGTGGAAAAATGCACCTTCTACTCCCAGCTCCCCCGAAGGCTGGTCAGTCCACAAAATCCAACCCATGGGTTCCTCTTTGTTTAGTCACAATGTGGCTACACAATGGACTTACACATGCGATCTAGGGATCCTGTACTTCATCTGCAAGCATCACACAGGACATGTGATGGTGAGCTATAGGAAACTCCCTGGCACCCCACCTGGCACCCTCCTCTATCTCACCCACCCAAGAAAACAGAATCACAATGCAAATGCCTGACAGTATTACAAAGGCGACCCTAATATCCTAGCACCAGCCAGCAGCACGTACCGTACACCTGCCCCGTGCCAGGCACTGAGCTGAGCACTGAACACCCCCTGCCTCATTTAACCCTCCCGGCACCCCTGTGAGGTCAGTATTCATATCCCCACTTGACTTAGGAGAAAACAGAGCCTCAGAGAGGGTGACTTTCCAGGGTCATGCAGCTGGTAAGCAGCAGGGGCAGGATGTGAACTCAATCCTCCTGACTCCAGCACTCAGCACCCTAACCATGGCTCTGTGCAAAGGGGCCTTCTCTCATAAGGGGGTATCATTCCAAAGCCAGACTGTAAGTTGGAAAATCAAGTGCCCTTAAAATTACCCTGGAGACTCTCTTACATGACTTATAACACACAGTATGGCAGCACATTTCCACAAGCCCAACACACCGAGCTTTCCCTCCTGTGGAACACCAGTGGAAATTGGTGGCTTGCCTTTCGGCACCATGACCTGTGAAAAAATATCTCATCTAGCCTCACATTCCCCTTTGCAGGTAGGGCTGGATTTATAGAAATGCAATGCATGCATGATGGGACCTCCCACACTTGACTCTGTTCCATATTTTACAATTATTTGCAAACACCAATTAGATTCCTATTCTTAGTGACGCATGGTCTGTGCATCTTCCCATGCCTGGAGGATGCACACCTGAGTGTGCCTACGGTGAGGGGGAGGATGGTTGTGCGGCGTTGGCTGATCTCCCAACTGCCTCGCAGGGTCTGCGGGCTAAGTGTTGTGAAGACTGATTTTATAGTAGAGGCCACTGAGACACAGAAAAGCATACTGCCCTACCCTACGTCACACAGCACGTAAATGACTGAGCTAGAACTTGAATCCAGGTCCCCTGACCCCCAGTGGTATGGGGTTAGGGGCGGCTCTGGTACTTCCATATATCCTATTTTAGACTTAGCTTAAGCGCATGCATGGCTGTATGTAGGTCAAGGCAAAAGGAAACAGGGACAGACTTCTGATAGCAACATGGTGGGGCAGACCTGGGCAACATGGTGGGGCAGACCAGGAGCAGAGCTCACTACTCCACCATGTATCTCCTTGGTCTTTTCTGTGCTTCTTTCTGCTGAGGACATTCTTTCATATAGGCATTTTGCTCATGCACAAGACAGGTTGCAAGAGCTGTGGATAAACATCCCCAGACCTCAACCAGTGACTGAAGGTAACGCCCTCTGGGTGGGATGACTCGGGGCGAGTGCTCTATGCTGCCTCCTAGAGGTTCCCAGCAGGATTGCGCCTCAGGTTCCCATAGTGGTAGCGGGCTTGATTGATAGATAATTCGACCTTTGTGGCTGCTGGTTCCCCACTTCCCTTCCTCACACCCCTCCCAGTGCTGCCTGGGTTCCCCTCCCACATGAACGTCTTGCCCTTGAACTCCTATTTTCAGCAGCTGCACCCATCTAAGGTGTCTAAGGTGCGAAGGCTCAGAGAGGGCTTCAGAAGCTGACTACATTTACCAAAGCTCGGTTTGATTTTTCCCTTCAATTACTGAGGCCAAGAGAAGGTTCTCTGAAAGGAAGCCAAGGTCTCAGCTAGCTGCTCTTTCTTTGCGTTTTGTTTGTTTGTTTGTTTTTGTTTTCCTATTCCTCAGAAGCCATCTGCACATCTGGGGTGAGGCCTGGCTCCAGCTCATGTGCTACCAAGGGCAGGGCTAAGAGTTCGAAACTCTCCCCACGTGGCGGAGGGGCGTGGAGCAGGGCGGAGCGGCCACACAGCTGG